ACACGCTGCTTTAATTTAATTTTGTTTTAAATTATATAATATTGTATTATAAATTCAAAACTCAGGTCATAAAAAAATTATATTTCTACAACAGTCAGTTGAGTTGGAAGGGGGCAAAGTTTCCTCTTCATTTGGTATGGTTTTCAATTAAATAAATATTACAAAAATCTCTTTTTCTCTCTCAATTTTTGTCACAGCACTGTACGGAGTTCATTCTGAAATTGTTGGAAATAATCTCATCTTACGGCCTATAAAAAGGCGGTATCTAGGGGTCTTAATATTCCGCAGGTAAACAGACGGGTAACGATAGGAAGGAGCATCGAGGATATTGTTATCAAAGGACCATAATTTTCCAAACCCGTGTCGGGATCCCGTGCACAATTATCTTGCGGAAAGACGCACTTATTGAGGGTGACATAGGTGACATAATCGGTACTGGTAGTTAAGATGCTTGAATATTGTTAGAAGCGAAGAGGAGGAACATATTTTAAGGCTAATGGTGCCGTGAGTTAAACGTAAATTTCTGTTGGGGCCAAATTTTATACCAGACTATTATCCCGAGGATAGATGCCGGGATATAAAGGCAACAATATCAAAGAAGAATTCTTCACAATTTCCGTAGACGATGCTTTATTACTTATAATTCGGAATTTTTCTATTTAGTAAGACGAATTTCTTACTAAGAGCGAAAGAATATTTCCACGTAATATTATTTACAGAGAAGGATTAACGATTATGCTCGAGTTCTTCTTAATGGCAGAGAATTCTAAATCATTATTGAAACGTCAAACTCAGTGATTTTAGTCGTATTCCACAGGCGTACCTATGATGTATGTGTACTCACTTAATAATAATAATAATCAACTTTGTTCATATTAATTAAAGTATAAATGTACGAAAAATATAAATATATTCAAGGCGAAGTCCCTGGTAAATTAAATATCATCCTACAAACGCGTAAACTTATATGTACACCAATTAACATAAATTTTGTGCCAAAAAGAAAGTAAACACATCGTTGTCTACTGTACCCAATCCAATAAATATAATAACACATTTGTCCCTAGTAACAGAAACCAATAAATAAATTTAAAAAAAAAGGTTGGTTAAATAAATGAATTTTAAAAGGCGCTTTCAAGTTTTCAATATTATGATTGATTAAAACATGTGTGCCATAAGTAAAAGATTTTAATTTATTTCTAGCATCTCCGTTATGTATATCAAATTTCAGATTGAATTTATTTTTAAGACTTTCTAAAAGAGCGTTTTGCTAAACCATGTCCAAATGATAAGTCCTTCGATAAAACATGTCCAAACACATTAATTTTATGCGTTGTATGATCCGATTTTTTTAGGTTTAAAATCAAACGATGCCAACTATTCTGCACTGCAACTAAAATGAGAGAGTACCAATGCCTTGTACAACGGAACTTTAATTCTTGGACTTAGAAAATGACGACTATAGTAAAGTTGCTTAAGATATTTGCCCTTTAGGTAAGATTTTTTATATGTTCCAAAGTTACGTGCCGTCACTAAATTAATCATTAATTTAATTATAATTAGATTGTGTCCGTCATTACTGATTTTCAAATTGGACATTCTCAAATTGCAGTAGTTTGGATTTGGATGCATTCAATTTTAGCCCGTGTTACTCAGAAATATCCTTTGATAGATCATAATCAGAACTAATGTAAGGAAAGGGAGAGGAAAGTGATACTAAAGCTGTGTGTCATCAGCAGCACCTTTCCGAGGTAGTACATTTTGCAACCTCTCATAAAAATTAGATTTGACAATATTTAATACCTAAGTTTGGATAATATTATTACTTTTAATAGGAAGCAATTTGAGAAAGATATGCTGAAGAAAGAGCAATATAACATTATGCGCTGGATAAACAGTGAAATAAAAATGAATTCACACCATATTCTTATAAAACAAATTTGCCCTATAATGCTTCGTTTTTAATCGTTCCTTAATCAATGTTTTATCGCAAATTTGTGAATTCATTAAGATATAATTAATATAAACCGTTTTTTGGTTATATATATATATATATATATATATATATATATATATATATATATATATATATATATATATATATATATATATATATATATATATATATATATATATATATATATATATATATATATATATATATATATATATATATATATATATATATATATATATATATATATATGATGACACTATATTCCGGGATATCATCCGTTCGTTCGTTGAACTCCGACTGGAATCCTGCAAATCCTGCATCCGACTGGAATCCTGCAGACGTTTCGCCAAAATCTCACTTGGCATCTTCAATGCTCGCGCTCCGAAAACACTTCGAACACTGGGGAACACAGTGTTTTCGGAGCGCGAGCTTTGAAGATGCCAAGTGAGATTTTGGCGAAACGTCTGCAGGATTCCAGTCGGATGCAGGATTTGCAGGATTCCAGTCGGAGTTCAACGAGCGAACGGATGATATCCCGGAATATAGTGTCATCACATTTTTCCATCCGTGAATCAATACGTGAATATATATATATATATATATATATATATATATATATATATATATATATATATATATATATATATATATATATATATATATATATATATACATATATACATATTTATATTTTTTTTGTGCATGCATCCTTTGTAATGAGAATTTGATCCATGTAATATTAAAAAACGTATGAAATGCTAGTCACATTTGCAAGTGAATCCAAACCTCCAAACCGACATAGAATTTATTGTATATGTATACAGGGTGTTGCAAAAAAACAAATACAAAATAAAAGGAAAAAAGTTCACGAATCTGATGGTGGTTATTTCCATTATCTTCGTAACTGCTATTTTTTGTTCCTTCAATTTGGAATGAAAATACACGCTAACGTTTCGATATTAGTTGTAATTAATTGGACACAAAGTTACCACAACGTTTTCATATTTAATTAGATAAAAACAGCTTTTAACTCAATTACATAAGCGAACAATTCGTATTAGATTTCTCGGGCCGGTTCTATTTCTCGATGAAATTTGGAGAACACGCCTAAAATCGATATTGGAAATTTACCACCCAACTAAATGGCGCAGAATAAATGAGGCACAGGGCTCGAATGAATCTTCTATCGAGTATTAATTGAACGAAGCGATGTATATACCAGTTCGCATGACTGTTGCAACCACGTTAGACGTAGACGTATTAGTTACAAATTTCTGGATAATCACTATGCTTTCAAATAATAGGTATTACAAACATAATACCGGAAGACAAATGCTTTGTGGAAATCGCGAACAAATAATAATATGCGTCTAGATATTAGGCGAATATAGTTGAATACAACATTCAAAATTGTATACTTCAAACTAATCAAAACTTTTTAATTTTACTAAAAAATTAAAGTATGGGAATTTGACAATAAATAAAGTACGCTCTATCCATATATTCATTTCTTTTGACTATAATTTGCGACTAAATCCAGAAATGTCAAATTTTTTCTACAAGAAAATTTAAATTTAAAACTAAATACTGAAGTAATATTTATTAATTATGCGATATTCATTTGTGTTTTAGAGAACAGCTTACTCATAAAATCATAAAATAAAAGAGAACAAATGTCTATTCATGAAGACTAGGATGTTGTAGATGTTTATTAGTTATTAATTATTTAGTTAGAATTTTTATATATATGGAGAGTGTCATATATTTTATTTAACTAAAAAAGCCTTCTAATATGGTCTAAAGTGTAATCTCAAATCCGTAAATTTTTTGCGTAAAAGTGCATAAAATAGTATATTCTGCAACAAATTTGTTTACACGCCATTTAGTGACGAGTTTCATGCGAAACGATCGACTGAATCCTACTTACCTTACTCTTAAAAAAAAATAATTCTTATTCTTATTGCTTTATATAAACGAAAAACTTTCGGGTCATTGCAGAGTTGGCATATCTATTCGAACCAGACGCCTTAATTTTTTTAAATGGAATGTCCCGTATATTATTACATTTTTAGACTCTATGAACAATTATAAAATATTCCAAATTTAGCAAGAAACATTCATTAATGAAAACAATTGACTACATTTTAACCATTTTCAGCAAAATCTGAAGCTTTCGTTACTGTTTGGCAATAACGAATGCATGGCATAATCAAATCTCATGTCACAATATAGTAGAGCAGTCAATTGGCAAGCTGTAACCAAAATTTCAGGTCTATTTAATAATTTTTTTCTTCAAAATAACGCAAGATCGCACACGTGGCATAGAAAGTTTCATAGTTTTATATAAATCTAAAAACGTTATTATATACAGGGCATCTCATTTAAAAAAATGAAATTTGTATCTACTTCGAGAAGATATAGCAATGCTGCAATATCTCAAATAATTTAAAAATAGAGATCGTAGCCTTCTATAGCCCTATCATAATTTTTAAAAGCCTATATCATTTATTCTATTAGGCATATATTTCTAATGTTTCACAGATTCACTATCGAACTAAATAAAGAAGAAACAATAGAAGAAAGAAGAAAATGGCTGAGATTGAGATATTCAATTTAGATATAGACGTTCTTCCCATGGTAAAAAGATAAATATACCGATCTCTCGATCAAATTCTAACCTCTAGAATAACGCTGTGCTAACTAAAACTGATACTAACAGAAACCACCAAACAATAACTAAAATAGTTAATATTCAGTGAAGAAACTAATATTAAAACATTAAAATCAATGACCGTCAAAGACAATCTGCTCTGAAGTCTAACGCGCATCAAAACTATGGAAACCGAACAGATATTCATTGAAATCTGTAATTAGCAGCAAATCTTTTCGCTGACATGTGTGTACCTTGTATTAATGGCAAAATACGCATGACCTTAGAACGCGTCGTTAGTATAAGACGAAGCAAATGTACAGTTATACAATTTGGTCCAGTCCAGGATGCAAAAAAATACTATTTTCAGACTACGAACCGAATTTCACTTACCCAAGAGCTTCTGTAATGAATTCGCCATAATATTAATGTAACACAAATACCATCAATTACACTGAAACACATGAAAATGGCGTTGCATCGACTAATTTACAGTAAAAGAGTACCAAATGACAGTCGAGTGTCTGTGGAAGTTTTATCGGTAACCATAGTAACATCGTACGTTCTGCCAGAAAGTGGGTGCGATTATATGCGGCGGTATACCGAGTATACTGTTCGATGACAGAGTTAGACGATTACGGACAAAAGAGAATAGACTAATTTTTGTAATTTGAATACTATAAATGACTATATTCTAACATATATGGGAGCATCGTGATCCTAGATGGCATAAACTATATTTTATTTTATTTCTAGATCCACTGATTCCTTCTCATTAAATGTTTTCGAAATACCAATTATTTCTCGTTTCAATATGTGACATTATTATGCATAATTTTGATAAAGTAAATATTAACAAACACTTTTGAAATTTTTGCATTTGTCTTGAAACTTAAAACGTTAATTGTCTATAAAATATATAAGTAACATTGATCAATATACTATTCTATCTATCTATTTACTCTTGATTTCCAAATTTTGCCATTAAACTGTAATATCTAGCTCTCTCCACTGCCCCCATCAGTGAAAGGAAATGAAATCTGAAATATTTGTTACGGAAGTGGGGAATATTCCTCGAAAATGAATTTAAAAAAAGGGTTACATGTAATATAGAGAAGGGACATTAATCATTTTCTAAGCATTTCGGCAAGGCATAAAAGGTTACATTCTGTCCTGTGAAGGGAACCATGAATACCAAACGAATTAAAGGTCTTTGCCATTTTTAATGACGAAAACCTGGTTTTTCGCTATCGCAAAGCTGGATTTATTCAACGCCCGATATTCGATCTTTCCGGTTGTTTGTGCCTTAAAATTTCAGAAACGAATTTGTGATTATTAAAAATCGATGATGCTTGATACATATCGCTTAGCTTTGTTTAATGAACTAAAGCAAACCATTCAATTTCCACATTATTTATTTATCTATATAAGCATATAAGCACACACTATAACCAGATATACAATAACCAATTACACTACAAATCATAAGTACATGAAAGCATGTATTGCGAAATTTTTTTGTCCCCTAAATTTTTTCAAAAAGGGTCTACAAGATTATATAATTTAATCTCAATCTTGTTTGTATTTGTTTTTAATAAATTAAATAAATAAAAATTATTACAAATTTTTATTTTATTGTGTTTTGACTGAAGAAGATTATTCCAGAACTATATTTAGTTGATAATACACAAGTTAGTAACACAAAATTCCTCATACACAATGTGTATTTCCAATTATTGGTTGATAGACTTTTCTTTACTTGTTTACTATTTTGTTTTCTAGGTTTATAGTAAGGTCTGAAGCGAATTTCTCATTGTAGAAACATATACAGTGTGTCCCCTCTCTAGTGTCAGAGATGAAAATTACAAGTAAAAATAGTTTATTAAAAATCAATTATTAGTTATACGATATTATTAATTCTTACAAGTTAGGAGGAAGAGACAATCAATACATTATTTTCTTAAGATAATTTTGAGCTTGTTCCTCCAAAACAATAGGAAATCAGCGATGTAAATAATGTGAATTGAAATAAAAATATAAACATTGTCTAATACTAGACCTAACTTAATTATATTAATGTGCTTTATACTTCTTTGGGTAAAAATGTTTTTTCTAACCGAACAGGTTTTTCAACTTGCCAAAACAAGTGCATTTTCCAAGTAAGGGATTTTAAATCTCTTTAAATGGTATTTCATATGAGTCCCACATCGGAGATTAATTTTTTAATTTCAAATGTCAATAACAAGTAATCGGGACAAAGAAACAAATTAAAAAGTAGCGAAAAGGAAAATAAAAATCATAAACTCATTTAATCTTCAGATTTATATTTCTCCTCGTGGAAGTGATAGGCTATTTCATAGGGGATGTGTAACAATGCAGAGGGTGTATACAATATTTTTTCTTAACAGGACCCTAATTTATGATTTTAATTAATTTCTGCTATGGCATTTGCCGACTTTAAATCATAAACTCGGTGGTTTTCTTTTGATATATATTTTTTAATTTGTCCTCTTATACGATTAATAATTTTGCTTATACAGGATGACCTGGAAATACTTGTTTAAGTTTTGGCAAGTTTTGCTTATTTTAAGGCTAAATTAGAGCTCGAAATATTGCTGATTTTAATAAATTGAGACAACATTTTAAGCACATTATTAAAAAAATGTACTACCCAATTTTCAATATTACAAATGTTCAATAGTGGAAAATACCAAAAACCAACTATTAAAAAAATTGTATTACATTGCCACTCACGAGAATAATAAAAAATACATATAATGAACTAACCAAAGCTCTATAAAAAAATTACAAATTGTTATATTACTTACAAAGCACCGTCATTAGGTGGGATTTAAAAGCCCTGTATATATTTTGCGACTTTATTAGGGAACATTTCAGTGATTATTTTTTCAGAGAACAAAATCGAACCTTAACTAGTTATCTATATAAAGGGTATTCTACTATTACCACAAATTTACCATTATTTTCAAAAAACCATAAACCAAACATTTAAATATAATTCAGTTATATAGGGTGTTTCATAAAAGCTACTGTTCAGTTTTCATTTTATTATTTTTCGACTTCCTATGAATTTATATATATAAACCTATAGCTTATCGATTGGCCGCGAGTACAGCACCAAGAAGTTATTCTTCTTCCTTTCCTCGCGGTATTAAATTCTTGAACTTAACTGGCCATCTATACCCGCCAGCGCCCTTAGGCGCATGCTCCACTAAAAATCACGGTGAAGCGCTAAATCGGTCGCTCTCATCGTGTGGTTCAAAAAGTGCCGTTGAACGCATCAGGTCATACGCGTGGTGATCAACAAATTTCCTCACCACTCGAGGCACAGAGGACGCAGCACGGGCCGGCCCCTCCGGAAGGAAGACCAAAAGCGAGGTAGGGTCAGTTAAGTAATCACAAATCTTTTGATCCTGTCTTGAGTAATTTTTGCGACTTCTTGCTGTGCCAGCTGCGGCTAAAGTCCGTTTCCGCGCGGACAAAACATTTTTGGTCCTTACGAGCCCAAATAAAAAGAACTAACTTTTATCTTATTATTGTGCAATCAATATTCTCAATTTGAAATTCACGATTACGTGCTATGCTTTTCGAAAAATCTGTTTATTCCTTTACTTTTTTTGTTTATGAAGGCCATTAGCATCAACACAAAAAGATCAGTACGTTTTTTTTTATATATATATACAGAATCGCATTTGATTTCAATCGACTGGATCTCGGTTTCAAACATTGTTTCGTTTTAACGTTCAATATCGGAACGGCCAGAGTTTCAGGCGTATTTATTTACTTTTTTGTCGAATTTCTTTCGGTCTAGTTGAAACTCGGAACAGTTTGGTTTTAATTTTTTTATTATCATTATTATTATTTGAGTAATATCGCTTTTCTCTCTGAATCTGCGTAGTGTTCGATAGGTTTTTATAATGGCAAAATCTTTAGGTCAGAATAAAGCCACTCGAGGTTTTTTTATAAGTCGTTTGACTGAAATTTATAATTGTTCTCAGACCTGTCTCACTGATTCTACTAAGTTAAATCAATTTAAAGCTCGTTACGAAGGAATTGAAGACATTAGAAATAATTTTGAAGCTCATCATCATGCAATCATTGCAATCATTGGGTCACAACAGATGACTGTCAAGTCTCTGGAGGATGAAGACGAAATTCGTCGAGAATTTGACGACAAATATTTCGTGATAAAATCTATATATATATATAGATTTGTTTCCTACAGCGGCTCAAAGTCCTGTTGTCCCATCAAACCAAACAATTTTTAATGCTACCACTAACCAAAAAGTATATGAGGTTGATGTACCAATTTTCAGGGGCGATTACCGAGATTGGCCGACATTCATTGACTTATATGATAGTTTAATTCATAATGACGCGAACATGCCGGCAATTCAAAAATTCGGTTTTTTGGTCAAACATTGCGAGGGTGAACCCCTCAATTTATTAAAAACGTTGCGCATGACTGAGAGCAACTACCCCGTTGCTTATCAGGCATTGCGTGATAGATACCAGAACAAAAGGTTAATGGCCACTGAATTTTGGAACAACATACACAACGCTCCTAAAATGTCATCAGACGATCATTTAGTTTTGCGACGTTTAATCGACACATTTCAAGAAAACTTGGCGGCATTGAAAATTTTGGGGTTTCCCACTGTCGAGTGGAATTTTATTCTTCTCAATTTGCTTTTATCAAAAATTGATGTGCATTCAGTTAAGTCATTTGAGCTTGCGCACAGCAGTGTAGAGCTTCCTTCATACGACGATTTAATCAAATTTTTAGATAAAAATTGCAAGGCATTATCGTCCTTTGCACTTTCAAGTCCAGAAGACACCATTCGAACAAAATCAGTCGGAAACCAAAGCGAACGCAGTTTTAAATCTAAATTAAATCCTAAAGGTTTCTTAACGCAGGATAGTCCAAAATGTACATTAGGATGTCAGAGTAGACACTCGTTGATTAAATGTTCAGTTTTCAAATCGAAAACGCCTCGTGATCGTTACACCATCGTCAAGCAACATCGCTTGTGCACATTATGCCTCAATTTGCGGTGCAGCGCTAAAAAATGTTCGAGCAATACAGCTTGCCAATTTTGTCAAAGTCGGAGACACCATACTTTGCTCCACTGGGGAGCCGATTCTCCTTCCAAAGGCAATTCGCCACAGACACCACATGACTCATCATGCGAACTTCCTCACTCCGTTGCATCTTCTGCATCGGTAGAGCTAAACTCACCTAAATCATATGCCTCTTCTTCGGCGAATATAACCGACTCAACCTTACTCGCTACAGCCCTCGTACAAGTGGCTGACAGACATGGCAACCTACACACTTGCCGAGCGCTGCTGGATAGCGCGAGTCAGGTAAACTGCATCACTGAGAAGTGTTTTCGAAGATTGGGTTTGAAAAGCTACGGTGGAAGTGTTGAAATTCAAGGTATCGGTGATACGTCAGTTGCTA